TATGGTTCCTTTCTGTAATGCAAACTATATAGATGGAAATAATTCTCTTCTATTGTTTGTTACTCTTTGGTACTTTTTGGACCACATAGTTGGGATATGGCTCTCTTAGCATTTGTGCAGAAAACTAGTTGATAATGTTTGAAAGATACTTAAGAATATTATATATATGAAAAGAAAAAAAAAACAATAACGTTTTCAGATCATGAATAAAAACAATTTTATTGTCATCATAGGTAGCTCAGTGCATGCGTTGCGCGAGGCCCTTTTTTTATTTAATTTATTTCCGTCTATTATAGGACCAATTGAGACATGGTGAAAAAATAAAAAATAAAAATGAAAAATGATGGAAATATGGTTTTACTGGCTTATCGTTTTTATTTTCTCCTTGTTGATAATGGCATAAAGTTTTATGTAACTTGTAACTAAAATGTACCATAGATAATAAAATCGAGCTTTCAAAATTTGTCTAGCTCAAGTTCAATTTTTCGTAACACTATTAGAACAGAACGGTTTACATGGAGACATCATATATATTCTAAGATATCGCGAAACTGTTATCAGCATACTAAAGCTCAAAATTGATTAGACGAGTCGATTTCGACTCGGGAGTAATATTTTTTCAACAAAAATGCATTTACCTCGAAATATTATATTTTAAGAAAACAGTAAAGTGATGATACTTGCCTTTAAATACCAATACTTGGCCAGTCACCTGAAACACAATATTATCATTGCATTATCCTTCATTTTCTATTCCGTAAAATAATGGCAAAAACTCCAGAGACAGAACACCCTATCAAGGCCTTCGGATGGGCCACCAAAGACCCATCTGGCATTCTTTCTCCTTTCAACTTCTCCAGAAGGTAACTGCATGCAAAATGTGTACTTTTAACTTGTTTTTGTGATATTTACTCACGTGTATAGCTAATTAATTAACGATTATATGCGTGGATTAACACTCTAATGGTGCAGGGCCACTGGTGAGCGTGATGTACAGTTAAAAATTTTGTACTGTGGGGTGTGCCATTCAGATCTTCACATGGCCAAGAATGAGCTTGGCTTCACCCAATACCCCATGGTGCCCGGGTACGTAAAAATCGCACGTGTTTATTATTCTGTTTTTTATTATTCGGTAAATTTGTCTCTAATATCACGACCTTTATTGAACTTGCAATTTAATCATGACCTTTTCACTTTTGCAAATTATATCACAATCTTTAGTTTGTTGCAAACAGTCTGAAAACAGTCATAGAAAAGCTTATATAGTCGAAAAACAAACAGAAGAAGATTGTGATATAGTTTGCACGGAATATATAAATCGGTGCACCAATTTGCAACAAACTGAAGATTGTGATATAATTTGTAAAAGTGAAAAAATCGTGATTAAATTGCAAATTCGAAAAAAGTCATGATATTAAGGGCAATTTTGCCTTTATTATTATGTTCTGTTTTATCTAATATAACTTCATTTAATGCAGGCATGAGATTGTAGGAACTGTTACTGAAGTAGGAAACAAGGTGACAAAATTCAAAATCGGTGATCGTGTAGGGGTCGGTTGCCTGGTGGGGTCGTGTCGCGAGTGTAGCTTGTGTGAAAAAGATCTCGAAAACTATTGCGCCAAACAGATCCTTACCTATAGCATGCCTTACTATGACGGCACCATCACGCAAGGCGGCTATTCGGACATCATGGTGGCTGACGAGCACTTTGTTGTCAGATGGCCCGACGACTTGCCCCTCGACGCTGGTGCCCCACTCCTATGCGCCGGAATCACCACCTACAGCCCGCTTAAGCATTTCGGGCTCGACAAGCCCGGGATCAGTGTTGGGGTCGTCGGGTTAGGCGGGTTGGGCCACCTCGCGGTCAAGTTCGCCAAGGCCTTTGGGTGTCGGGTGACCGTCATTAGTACTTCGGTGAGTAAAAAGGCGGAGGCTATCGAGAAGCTTGGGGTGGACGAGTTCTTGGTCAGCCTTGACTCGAAACAGATGCAGGTAGTGATTAGTGGTGTATTTAGAGTGTGTTTGGTACGCACCATAAGCTAGTTTATAGCTTATTTGTTTAGCTTATAAGCTTTCCATATATACTTCATTTGGTAGGACGAGATTTTCTTAAAAGTTTGAACTTATCTCATAAGATTCTTTGGGTAGTTTTTCAAATAAATCAGTTGAAAGTTTTATTTCAGCTGACTTATCAACTAATTTAATCAAACATTTTTATCATGTCAGCTAGTTTTTCTATCATAAGTCCTAAGCTATCAGCTATAAACTCGAAATTCGCATATAAGCTATCATCTATCAGCTACCTTATAAGCTGGTTTTACCAAACAAAGCCGTACTAATTGTTTTATGAATAGGATGCGGCGGGCACGTTGGATGGTATAATTGACACCGTCTCAGCGACTCATTCACTTTTCCCGTTGGTGAGTTTGTTGAAGCCTGACGGGAAGCTAATCTTAGTCGGACTCCCACAGAGCCTAGAAGTCCCGGTTTTTCCCTTGCTTATAGGTAATAGTTAAGCATTCATATTATTCTTTTTCATGATAAATGTAGGCAAATTCGAGCCAAACAAACCCGACTATAGTAATGAGTGATGGAATATCTTTGGAGTTTTGATAGGGAGGAGGGCTATAATCGGAAGTGCAATCGGAGGACTTAAAGAGACGCAAGAGATGATTGATTTTGCGGCTGAGCACAACATATTACCGGACGTGGAGATGATCCAGATGGATTACGTGAACAAGGCCATGGAGCGCCTATTGAAGTCCGATGTGAAGTATCGTTTTGTTATCGACATTGGGAATACGTTGAAACAGGAGTGAGTAGAGTTATGATTGGTATAAGGTTTTCATAATAAGGTTTTTAACAGTGGTGAGCCTGTTGTTATGAGCTTTCTGTTGGCATTCAAGTTAATGTAAGAGATGAATTAGATGCTTGTGCTTTTGTTTGATATTACTTGGACAATTATTGCTCCTACAGTCCTACTTTTTATTTTTTATCAAAACGATAGATTTTATAAAAATATATATGTTCATGGACCGCTTTCTTTTTGAGTTGCTTAAAATCATTAATTGTTGAAAAGTAATGAGATTGACTTTGACCAATACGACGATTTTTACCAACTTTGAACAATAATGCTTCGTCTAACTGTGCATATTTACTGGGACTTAATATGATCAGTTCCATCGTTTCAATCGTTTCATTAATCTACTTCGTAAGAAGTGTTCCTTGTGTGTTCTGATTCACAAGATTCTCTCTTTAGTAAATCATCTCACTATCAATTTTATCTTACTATTTTATTATTTTTTATCACATTGATTTTAGACATTACATTTTTATTTTATTTCGGGTCACAATCACAAAAAAATATCTCATTTATTTAAAAAATAACTTTTCCAGATTTTTATTTGTTTTTGTAATTTTTTTTTTTAAAAATATCATATTATATCACGAAGCATAGCAGCCAAGAATCATAAGATAAACATTTCAAAGATATCTCCTATTCAAAGGCTGAAAAAAAAAGCAGATTGCGAAAACAACGGAAAAATACAGAGGAAAAATAATTTGAAGAGGGGACCGACTTGTTACTTGTCCAAACCAAAATTGTTACATGATAAATTATCGGATTTATCTGAATTATTTCGCACTCCGTACATATGACCCACTGATTACGCAGGCTTTGAGGCTTCATAAGTACACACCGCTTGTTCCTCGAGATCAACCAGCACAAAATTTTGTTAGAACAACTTCAAGAAAAAATTAATAAAAGATAAGCATAGTTCGAAAATGGCGAAAAATCCAGAGAGGGAGCACCCGGTGAAGGCCTTCGGATGGGCAGCGAGAGACACTTCTGGGGTCCTTTATCCTTTCAACTTCTCCAGGAGGTTATACTTCCAACTTCTAACTAACCATGTCTTTCTCCTTTCACTGAACCCTTTTTCTATTTATTCTTTTGAAGAGACTTTTTAAACTTTTCAAGATTTAATTTCAACTTCTAGGGACTTTGAAAAGTTTATCTGTGTTCAATTGAAACTCTTTATAGTTTTTAAAATTCTCAAGGTATTGAATTAAATTTTTTCTCATTAAGTTGCCTAGTATTCAAAATAAGAAGATTTTATGAGATTTTTTTAAATAATAAGACTTTTAGAGATTTTTGTAACAAAATTACAAAGACAAATTCCTAGCATAAATTTCAACAAATTCGTGAGATTTGCTGGATTATATGACTCTAGAGATGTTAAACGGGCTAGCGCTGGCGGTTTGGGCTAGCCCTAGTAGGCTTCGGGCTAAACGGTCCGGGATTAAAAAATTCGAATTTAAACGGGCTACCAATAAAGGGACCTAACTCTAACCCTAACGGACTTCGGGTTAAACGAGCTATAATAATAATAATAATAATAATAATAATAATAATAATAATAATAATAATATATAAAAAAACCATATAAGTAAAAATTACAACAGCCAGTTAGCAATTGTTTTCAACGGCCGGTTTATATATATACAACTACACTTCATGTATTACATACATTACAAACTCTTAAATGACATATTTTTTTCTCAAAAGAAAAAAATGTTTGAACTATTACTTATAATTACCATTTTACTATTTATTTTGTACGCTTTGAAAATTTTCATGATATTGTATCATAGTGTTGAATTTATATTCTATCACTATATTCTATGTGTTAGGTCTTTGTCTCATGTGTTTTCTATTAGTCGTTTTAATTGGCTTAAATAATTTGGTGTGAAGTAGAATAACGAAATTGTTAATAATTATTTTCTAAAATCATAATAACCCGTTACAACTCATAGTTACATACGAAATAGAATAGCAAAATTATAATATACAAGAAATCTTGGGACATATTCCTTACCTGCTGCAAACATTTACGTTCAACCGAACTTAAAAAGTCCTAATTTAAACCGCCTACCAAAAAAAGGGCCATATTCCTGTTTTTTTTTTTATTATTTTTTTTTTCAGGCTAAACGGGTTGGCCCGTCAGGTCAAGGACCGTTTAACATCTCTATATGACTCTCTTCACTCTCTTTTCTTTACATGACTTTATATTTAATATCACTTTCATACTTTGTCATTTTACTAATTTATTTTGATAGCTCTCATCATGAATATTTAATGTTATTTTTATATTTTATGGTTATTTTATGTGTGTATACTTTTATTCTGCAATTTTTCTTTCTTGTGAATTTGACTTTTCAAAGTGGAAATGCTTGTATAGTTTGCACATGCTCATAATTTATTTGCTCTCTCTTTTTCATTTGTAAATTTCTATTTTAAAATATTAAAATAATTATTTTATTTGGTAAGAGTTTATGTTTTTATATAAATTATTATGAGTATTATTGATAAATTTAGAAGATACGATTATTGTTTTTTGATAATGTGTGTGTCATGTAAAAGTATGTCCTAATAATATTTTTCTAATATTGCAAAAATAAAAAATTAATCAGTAATTAGATAAATAAAATAAAATTAGATAAATATCTTGATTGAGTTGATTAAATGTCAGTAGCAGATGCAAAAATAAAAAAATAAAATTAATCAGTAATTAGATAAATATCTTGATTGAGTTGATTAAATGTCACGTAGCAGATGCTCGAGTTCGACTCGCTGAAGCTCGTGAAAGCTCGGATCGGCTTGCTCGTTTAATAAACTTAAAATCTTAAACAAGTTGTTTGTGAATAGCTTAGTTCGAATAATAATTGATTAATTCGATTCATAATCTTTTTGTGATTAATCTACAAAATTATTTTTTCTTTATTTTTGTTGAATTGCTAATGTTTACTATCATAACTCCTTTTCATTTAATATTTTTTAAAAGAAAAAATCGTTTTGACTTTATTGATATTAATTGTTATGCAACATTCATTAATACTTCATTCAAGTATAATAACTATAATTCCAAATATATAAAAGTCTTAATAAATTTCAAAAAGTTCATGATGAAAAGTCTTAATAAGTTCTAAAAAGTTCATGATGATAGTCTGTAAAAGTCTCAAATAAGAATCCTATGAAAGTCTTAAATATCCGCCAAAATCATGAAAGTTTTACAAAATCATCCAATTGTAAAAGTTTTAAAAAGCCTTTAAAAATCTCAATTGAAGAACGCATGGGTTTGGGAAAAAAAAGTTTTATACTTGATCGGACCCCTGTAATTATTTAAATGAGTTCTGCATTTGATCAATCAGGGTTTTCTTGATTGTTCCTGATTTAATACATTTATGTTTAATTTTGGTTTTATTTTTTGGGTGTGTGTGTGTGGTGATGCAGGGCCACCGGTGAGAATGATGTGCAGTTCAAAGTATTGTATTGTGGAGTTTGCCATTCGGACATTCACATGCTCAAGAATGAGTGGGGTTTCAGTCAGTATCCCATGGTGCCCGGGTATCAATCAATCACTCACTCTCTCTGTCTCATATGTGTTTATTTGATGGGAAAAACAATTGTTATTTAAGCATTAATGCAATTCATTTTATGTTCACATCAATACTTCTCATTTTTCTTTAGTAGTATCTTGAATTCCTAATCACTGTGAGATAAGCCCTTTATTTGATATCTAAATTTTCTTGGCTCGATATCTGGATTGGATCTACTTGAGGGATTTGTGAGTCCTTTTGGAGCTGGTGACCCTTTTTTAGTGATATTGGAAAAGTTTGTTAAGGTACACTAATTTTTGTGTTTCTTTTTAATTACAGGCACGAAATTGTTGGGGAGGTGACCGCAATTGGCAGCAAGGTAAAAAAAGTGAAAATCGGAGATAAAGTGGGTGTGGGCTGTCTGGTCAGATCTTGCCGAAAATGTGACCAGTGCACAGCCGACCTTGAAAATTACTGCCCCAAACACGTCCTTACTTACGGCGCACCTGACATTGATGGATCCTTCACCCAAGGAGGCTACTCGAATATCATGGTTGCTGATGAGCATTTTATCCTCCGCTGGCCTGAAAACCTGCCTCTCGACAAAGGGGCCCCACTTCTTTGCGCGGGCATCACAACCTACAGCCCGCTTAAGTACTTCGGGCTCGACAAGCCCGGTATGGCTATTGGGGTTGCCGGGCTAGGTGGGCTTGGTCATGTGGCTGTGAAATTCGCTAAGGCCTTTGGGGCTAAGGTCACGGTTATAAGCACTTCCGAGAGTAAGAAGAATGAGGCCCTTGAGCATCTTGGTGCAGATAAGTTTCTGGTTAGCCGTGACCCGGAGCAGATGTCGGTATGAATTTAACGGATTTTTTTTTCTTTTTCCACAATAAATTGCGAAATTAGACTAAATTTGCTATTTTGGTGCTCATGTCATTGAAGTGTTTGTGTCTTATGGCCACTTTTTTTGTATTCTGATTTATGTCTTGAAGTTATTCATTAGACAAAATTGCAATTTTAGTCCTGCCAGAGGCGGTTTTAGTCCTAGGAATTGAACATTTTGCTATTTGATCCTATAGTTTTAAAATTCAATACAATTTCAGTCCTTTGGGACTGAAATTGCAATAAAACTTAAAATTACAGGACTTAAATTTTGATTTTTATGTCATTAAATCCTGTAATTTTAAATTTTGTTGCAATTTAAATTGCTGCAAAAATACTTAATTACAGGATCAAAAGACAAAAAGTTGAAATCTTGGGACTAAAAGTGCTATGGCGTTAAACCAGCAGAACTAAAAATGTAATATTGCCTATTCATTATTACTATTTGGTAGGCTGCGGCAGGGACAATGGACGGTATAATTGATACGATAGCTGCAAATCACGCGATTGTGCCATTTCTAAATCTGTTGAAGCCTCACGGGAAGGTCGTTTTGGTTGGTGCTCCCGAGAAACCACTCGAGCTCCCAGCTACTCCTATCATTGCAGGTTAGTATGGTAATGATCACCCATTTGATTCTTCTTTTTACTTGTCTACAAATTTTGAATACGAATCTCTTTTGTGGAAAATAATGTGTAGGGAGGAAATCCGTGATGGGGAGTGCCAACGGGGGACTGAAGGAGGTGCAAGAGATGCTCGATTTTGCTGCGAAGCACGGCATAGCAGCGGATGTTGAGCTAATCTCGACAGATTACGTGAACAAGGCAATTGAGCGACTCCATAAGGCTGATGTCAAGTACAGATTTGTGATCGACGTTGGGAAAACAATGAAACCCGAGTGAGGGGGCAGGCCTGCAGCTCAGGCTCAGTTGTTATCTTGATTTGGGGTCGTTACCCGTATGTGTGGCACCCTCGTCGTTGGATGAAGGACACATGCCCCATACTTAAGAAAATGTTAAAAAAAACATTTTTTTCACATGTGTTCCTCGTAAAACGGATGAGAGTGCCACACATACGGGTAGCATCTAATGAACCCTTGATTTGCTGTTTTCTGCAGCTCAGTTGTTATATTGATTTGTTGTTTTCAAGAGAATAAATTGTTGCCAGTTTAAATAATTGTAATCTGCGAGAAAATAGTCTAGTGAAAATCGCTGCTTCGCGTGTGGTATTTGGCAAAATATTGTATTTGCACGACTTTTATCAATTGGTATTACTGTGTGTTGTGTATACGAGTTCTTATTCAAGTGCTTATAATCATCCACTTCCACTCTATATATAATTTCAGAATAGGTTGAGCTTACGTGACAAATTTTTACGCTTTGTAATCTTATTTGCCAAAAAATCATGCTTTCGAGTTAGGCTTGGATATAAATTAATATTTTTTATCACACTAAATCCATAATTAATTTTTTCTTTCTTTACTTCTACAATTAATTACAATAAATTATTTTATATTTCTATTTCCCACATTATCATACATTACATTTCAGTTTCTTATTTAATTTATTCATTAGTTATTATAAATGTTTCTTTTTTTTAAAAAAAATTTTGTAACTTTTTTGTTTGTATTTTATTTTTTATATATGATATATCAAATTAACTATCTTTTGCGATTTTCGATTTGACATTCATATTATATATATATAATACAAAATAGTAATATATATTTTTATAAATAAAATTTAAGTTTATTTATCAAACTAAATTAAAAGATATCAATAAAACTATAAATTATATTATAAAGTAATAAAGTAAGTTTAGTTATCAAACTAAATTAAAAGATATCAAATAAAACTATAAGTTATATTATAAAGTAATAGAAATTGGTATGTATTCTTTTAAAAATGATATTTATTTCAAATCTAATTGGTATGTTATCAATCTAATAAAAATAAATAATTATTTATCTAAATTCTAAAATTACAGATAAAGTTAGAAAACTGTGAAGCACGATGGATACGACAATTGATGTATTAGACATCTAATTAAGTAAAAATTATCTATTTTTTAATATTAAACAAACATATTCTGCACTTATGCATATACATATCACCATATTATTTCTATTTATTTAAGATAAATACTTTTTTACTTAATAATAGTAAATAATATCGATAATTTTATATGATATAAGTACAAAAATTCAATATGAGTTGATATTTTTGTTTAATATACGGGTGTTTAATTATTATGTTTAAAATAATATAATTTGACAATTTAATTAAAAACCAAAGTAATGTTATATATAAAATTAATTTTTTTTAGTTTAAAAAAAATTAATATTTTTTTACATATGCTTCCTAATTCAACACCCGTGTATTATACCGGTATTGTACTAGTAGTTATTATTTATTAATCCCTGGAATAGTTGGTCAAGTCGTCATTGGTTCATTGCAAACTCACAAGGACAACTTGACGTTAAATTAACACGGATTAATTGCTGAATTTGTAATTAACGTTAAATTATAAACTTATATATATATTAGTATATTATATAAATATACATAAAAATAATAGAAATGATAATTCTGTACATAAATTTTGTATTTTAAAGTATTTATAACATTGTATCTTATATAAGTATTTACCATATAAATATTTATACATAGTTTGTATTTTTAAACTAACTAATAATAAATAATATATAGGGATCGGGTCAAACAAGGTTGGCCCGGCTGGATCGATGCCTCGGTCAATCGGATCAAGGCCGATTTGACCAAGTCCGAAATCACCCGGTCCAAAACACCTACCGAGTCAGTCTTGACTTCAGGTCAATTGGGTCCCGGGTCGACCCGCCGGGTTGAAAAACTATGTTTATAGTGCTCACTGTTGTTTGGGTTGAATTTGTTAATTGTATTTAGTATTTTTTTTAATATAGTAAAATTTTTAGAAAATAATAATTGTATATGGTTTGATTTTATTGAGTCATATTTTCAACAAATATTTAGCAAACATACATCCTCCATACTGCATAACTAGTACGTAACCCGTGCGATGCACGGACTATATTCATTTTGGGAAATATAGTGTAGTACCGGTGTGCAGTACGGTGGGGTTATTTCCTCAAATCTTTTTTTCTAAACTTTATTTAATATTTTTGTTTATAAATTAATAATTTGATTGTAATAGAAAAAAAGAGAGAGAAATACAAAGTACAAAAAAAAAAATCATATATTATTAAAGACTATTCTATACACAACATTATTGGTTTGATTTGCTTTCAAACCTTCTTCTCCACAAATTAAAATTTTCAGACCCTTTCTATTAGTAACACGGGAGACAGCGACATATAACTGGCAATGACTGAAAACTGGTTTCTTAAAAAATAAGCCAACGTGAGATAAGGATTGACCTTGACTCTTGTTTATAGTCATTGCATACGAAACCATAATGAGGAACTGCCTTCTTTGGAATTTGAATGGTACTACATCCGAAGGAGTTATGGTCATTCGAGGTATCAAAACTTTATCACTTGCATGATCGTCACTGAGAATTTTACACTCGAGAACATGATTAAGATGAATTATGACCTCGTAACTTGTGTGGAGTTGAGTACAAAAGATTTCAAAAATTAATTTTTAAAATCTTTATCGTAAAAAGAATTTGGCATGTTTTTTATCATATCGGTTACTTTATCAATTTTACAATTACAAATCAAGATTAATGCCAATCGAAAAAATTATATAACAAATAAAATGTGATTTTCTATCTAAAATTTAGTATGTATCTAATGTTTCTTTATATCTTATTCCTTTTTTATATCTTAAAAATACCTAAAATCGTATAAATGTAAAAAATATCTAATGTAGTATATATTATGATAGAAATATGTGTGAAGTCACCTAAAAAAATTAACCTATTTATGTAATGATACACCTCCTTAATATAGAGAATGGATAAAAACAATTATCAAGATATGTCTAAAATAACCTATTTATGTAATGATACACCTCCTTAATATAGAGAATGGATAAAAACAATTATCAAGATACGTCTAAAATATCTAAAATATTGCAACCCAACAATCATTAAGAATACCTAAAATATCATTTTTTAAAAATGTGAAATTAACTTTTTTTCTCTATAAAATCATGTTTAAAGTTATATCCACTCTTATATATCGGGTAAAAATTGCCTGTTTAAAACTATATAAAATATTATGAGTTAACATATTACCTCATGCTAAATTTGTTGGGAGGAGATGGGAAATAATATATCCAAAATTAATATTAAGATGATATCGACCATTAGGATGATTTATGACCTAACTTCCATATGCGGAGTAAGTACAAAAGATTTCAAAAATTAATTTTTGAAGTCTTTATCGTAAAAAGAATTTGGCATGCTTTTTATCATACGGTTAATTTATCAATTTTACCATTACAAATCAAGATTAATGCCAATCGAAAAAATTATATAACAAATAAAATGTGATTTCTATCTAAAATTTAGTATGTATCTAATGTTTCTTTAAATCTTACTCCTTTTTTATATCTATAGATATAGATATTAAAAGTACCTAAAATTGTACATATGTAAAAAAATATCTAATATATTATATATTATTCTAGAAATATGTGTGAAGTCACCTAAAAAAATTAACCTATTTATGTATAGATACACCTCCTTAGTATAGAGAATGGATAAAAACAATTATCAAGATATGTTTAAAAATATCTAAGATATTGCAACCCAACAAACATTAAGAATACCTAGACTATTATATAACGTATGTAAAAGTGTCTAAAATATTATTTTTTAAAAATGTGAAATTAACTTTTTTTTTCTATAAAATCATGTTAAAGTTATATCCACTCTTATATATTTAGAGCCTAATGCGAAAACATTAGTAATTATATGCGTGAATAAATTAGTAATTATATGCGTGAATAATATGTAATAATATGTATTACAACGTAAAAATTATTAATTAGACCGTAAACAATTACAACATAAAGAAAAACATTAATTAGACCATACGCTATTTTTATTTTATGTATATAGTAGATATAAAATAAGATGTTGGTGAAAAACTCGATTCATTTTATCATGTCTTTAGTTAAGTAGTTAGAAAATTGCGAACACGTTTAAAATGCTTGACTAAATTTATAAAATTATCGAAAAATTCAAACGATTCACATAGGCGCATATTGCGAAATTTTTCAAAATAAATTAATTATGTATAGTAATATATTTAGGCGGGATTTTAGATGATTATTAGTTACTATTATCAGATGATGTTCAGTAATATATTTAGGCGGGATTTAAGATAATTTTTAGTTACTATTATCAGATTATTTAGGTAGCCTCTTTATAAAAACATGTTTAAAGTTATATCCACTTTTATATATTAGAGTCTAATGTGAAAAGATTAGTAACTATATGCGTGAATAATATAATATGTACTACGTGAAAAACAATACTCCAATATGCCTGAATATGTATTCTATAGCACACGTGATTTTAGTTAGGAATGATTTTGGAATGATTTAATTAAGATATATACAAATATTTGACAAAAAAAATCTAACCAAATCTTGTAAAAATCGGATTGTATAAATAGATAAGGCTGGAAATCAATAACTAAAATATCAAAAACGTTTGAATTGGTTGAAGGCGGGCAGATTCAATTTCCTCATTATAGTATTTATTTAGGCGAGAATTGAAATCTTTTTTTTTGCTGATTTTTTAGTTGATTTTTTCAAACAAATATCATTCCCTCTTTATATATTAATAGATAGATTATCAAATTGTATTATTTTTGTGCGAATGTAGGATACGATATCATTGAATTGTTTAGTTTAACTTGTTACGTTATAAATAGGATAATATTGAATTTTCGTCTACCATATATTAGATGAAGAATCCACATATATAGAATATTAGATATTTAATATTCCGGCTTTGTATTTTATGCTATCTTCGATTATTAAAATTTTTAATTCAAAAATGAGATGAAAATGGCCAAATATTTGATGAAAAAAGTTATTAGTAACATTCAATATTAGTGCAATTGTAGAATTCAATATCGTTAATTGATTTAATTCTATTTGGACATGAGAAACGGCATAGTATGAAATTATTATATAGCAAAAATTATATTGTATGAATAATAGTTCACATATATGGAATTCTTATCATATATGTATGGTTTTTAATTAGATAAATACAAAAATGAATCAGTGTGATTGGATAATTTGAATTTTTGGATTTCAAGCTCAAATAAAAGCAGGATTATTCAAAATAAAAATCCAAATTCAATAATTCCGAATTTATTTAGGTAGAAATTTGATTACTATTTTAGGTTAATTATATAACATATTATATATTAATAGATATATAAATTAATAGATATGGATGTAGTATAACATTCAATTGACTACTGTGTACACGTAATTATTAAGGATTAAACAAAATACAATCAACATCAACACAAAGTAGACCAATTTTCGTGAAGAGATCCTCAAACCAAAGAAAAAACGACGGCATTGTCTCTTTCTCGTATGAACTCAAATTATTGTCATTAATCTTATATGTACAAAACATTGAGAAAAGTTAAAAAGATCATGCATTACATAATTAAAAGAATCTCTTCATCTCTTTCATAGTAGATCATCACATATCACCAAATATAATCGATTCACATGAAAAAGAGAAAACGAAAGAAAANCGAAAGAAAAAAAAAAAAAAAAGAGTGAGTTAAAATCTAGAAATCAAAGCCGCTGCCTATGTCACCATGCCGTCGTCGTACCCATCTGCATAGACAACCGCGTTTCTGACATCTGACGCCATCTCGTTGTACCCCCAATCCTACCGCAACATGGCCGCCATCCCCGTCTTGTTCTGTAACCATACCCGCCTCCCGCCTCCCTGGGCCTCTCCCTCCCATTTTCGCTCCAAATAGTTTGGAAAACAAAGTCGAGCAATAATTTGTTTATTTTCTAAATTGAAACACACAAATTCTAAAACCTGGACATAATGAATGAAACAAAGAAAACATAAAATAGAGCAGCATCTACATATTATATAACCTCTCCCGTTGTGCCACACACAATGTACTGGCAAGTACTCGAAACAGCTATAATGTATATCTAAATCTCAACTTCTTGTAAGCTATATCCTTCAAATACATGGACATCTACTCAAAATAATCATATTTTTTAAAATTATTCGCACCATGAATTTTCACCAGTTGAATAGTCAAAACATTCATTTTACAACATTACATATTCTTGAAAAATATACATAAAGACAGAAGTTTTGCCAAGCAAATAAGAAAAAGCAAACAACATATATAAGATAATTCCAAGCAATAACTCCACACACCTATGATCGTGACTTGAACCGTATGTTGACCATTGAAATAATATTTCACTAACAATACTTCAGTTTATGCGGCAGAATGAAGATTGAAAATTACTAACACAATTTCACTTCAAAATGTTGACAGATGAATATAGCTTCTTGTTCTTTTTCCATATTTTATTTTCAATTATTCCACCCAATCCATAAGTACGTGCTCATAAAAATATCAAATTTTATTAAAACAGTACAAAACATTTCTATTATAAATACAACCTCACCTGCATAATTCGGTCATTTCGTATCATAGCCTCTTCGGGGCCTCGGGCAGAAGAATTTAATAGAGCAACTTTGCTTTTTTGTCTTTTCCACTATCACTATTATCTGTTTTCTGAGTCTAAGCCTGCTGCTTGCCGCTCTTTGTCCAACCATCAAACCCTAGGGGAGAGGTGGCGAGCAAGACTGGATCTTGAAACGACTGCAACGATAGCCTGGGTAATAGTGCGGTGCGGCTGTTTCTCGAGAGAAAATCAGGAAATTGGACGGCTTGAAACTCCATGGCCGAGGAGCTCGTCTCCGCCGGAGCCCCACCGGGAAAAAGGACTTTATGGTGTCGAATTCCAGAGACAGACAACATACTAACTGCAGCACCTAAAATCAACAACACTAAATAAAAATCAATGAATAATCAGTTCTTACTACAATTGCAGAAGGCTTGTCATCACGGTACGGGCATCTAGAATGATAAGGATTTCCAGCATATCCAGAATAATAAGGATTTTCCAGTCCTGCTCCCTGCCAATAATTTTTATACTTCATCATAAAATTGGAAAAAAAGAAACAGACAACATAATGACTGTAGCACCTAAAATCAACAAAAGTAAATAAAAGTCAACGATTAATCAGTTCTTACTACAATTGCAGAAGGCTTTTCCTCGCGGTACAAGCATCTAGAATAACAATGATTTCTAGAATAATAAGGATTTCGAGCAAATCTCCCTGGCATCGGTGCAAGCCAGTGAGGTGACCATCGATATCCATATCGATTTCTCTCGGCGCTTCTCACATAGAAGACCTCATCGTCGCCGTCGGAATTAGTTTCTCAGACTCCCTCGCGCCTTCTAGCACTGGGGCATCTTATTCTTCTTGCTCTCCTTTGTTCGATTCAGGCAAAAAAATTTTAGGTACCTCCCACAAGCCCTTCTCTCGGAAGAGTGTGGACTCAATGTAGCTCATCCCGTTAAAATATTTTTGATTTCCTACACGAATTAGCAAAAATGGGCCGTTAAAAAAACTCAACCGAAAAATCTATAACCCGAAAATCAAACTGTTTTTTCCTCTTTTTTTTTTTTTTTTTTTTTTTTTCAAGTCTTGCCTGATCAATGCAAGGAGAATCTTCAAGCCGGAAATATTCTGCGACCTCTAAGCAAAACAGAATCTTTTCAGCGACCCGTACCGGAAACCCTACCAGAAAAGGCGAAATCGGCCGAGGGGTGACCACCAGATACAGAAACGGAAACAAAGGGAGGGGATTACCATCAACAATCGAACACCTGCCGGCGACCGGGAGGAAGGCACCGAGAGGGCTCACCATCTCCATCCGCAGACCCGCGCTGCGCTTGGGGACAGAACTCCAATCTCAGACGAACCACGACGACATCACAGGCATACAACTTCAGGGATGGGTCGAGCGGTCGAGGTTGACCACCGGCTGGAGCCGTCCCCGAGGAAGGCAAAGCAATAGAGCGAGAGGAGGGGAGAAGACAGATTTGGGGATTAAGTTTTCTAGGGAGAGGGGAGGGCTGTTCGGCGGATATCTTGGATTGAAATTATTCCAGTTATTCGATATATGAAAGAGTCCCATCAAATGATATTCTTTCCAAAATTTTAAGATTGTTATTTAGTTATAAAAATATGGTCAAACTAATATGATAGTATATATCATCGATATTCTCCCACTTTTTAGGAAGATCTTATTTTTTAAATTTCTGAAAAATTCAAACAGATTTGGTAGAAGCGGGATATTTCAATTTTTGCCAAAATATTTACATAGTAATTCTGAAATTTTTGGCGGGAATCGAAATCTTTTTTTTGCTGATTTTCTCCTTGATTTTTTCAAAAAACTATCATTCCCTCTTTATATATTAATAGATTTTCCGGAGAAACATTCAATTCTCCTTATCGATCGCCTCAGCAAATCGACAAAGTCTGTATGTTTTCTATTTCTCATCTTTACAGTTTTCCATCTCCTTTATTAGTTTGATATTGCTTTCTATTTCTCTACTGTCATACTCTCTCAACATCTTAATTTCTCTAAAAAAATGTTATTCTTCTCCAACAACCCATTATTAATCTGTCCATATTCCATAATTAATAATACTTGGCGAAGTCCAGTGTCATTAATATTTTCACGTGTATACCTATTACATCGATCATCAAAAAAGAAAAAATTTAAGCATAATATTTCTTCCGATTCGAAATGTTTCATGACCTGGGTAAAGGTCTCTNTATTATTAAAGCTCAAACAAAGTCTACACGAGTAACCAACTGATTACATTCTTAAACTTACTAGAACAAACTAGCAAAACCAAGAAAACGAGCAAAGTACAAGCCTTCACCCTATACAACCCAAACATGGCTCATAATAGCTAACAAATAACCAAAAAATAGCAGCATGAGAAGAGATCCAAGGCATTTGTGATATCAATCATAATGCTAGAAACTGGAGCAGGCCAGCATGGTGTAGGTCTAGAGTTCAACATTTCCACCAGCTTTTTGTCATCCACATAACAATGTATCTGCCTCCAGTTCCTGTTAGCTGCTTCCTCTAATGCTCTTCTCACCGCAAATAATCTGCCAGTAGAAATATCTTCTGCCCACAGCTCCTTATCATGCCATTGAAGAATTTCTCTGCCATCCTGTTTTGCCACCCCTGTAATAACAACATTGCCATATGAAGATTGTGAGGCACTGACTTGAATATTAATAAGTCCTACCTCCATAGAAAATTGGTCACCATTGGGTTCTGTTGATGTGAGTTTGTCCTTAGTGGCTAGCAACCTGTTTCCAATTTCCACTTGCTCCAGCCAGTCTGATCTTGCTCCCTCCATCACTTGAGCTTCCATAAATGGTTCTTCTATGAAAATAGCATTGTTCATCTGTTTCCAAATCCTCCACATGAGGCATATTGAAAGCACAATTCTCTCCTTCATCTTTCTGAAACAGGAGCTACCAAACACTTCTTCCCACCAATCTTTCAGCCTTTTTCTATCATCCTGGAAAGCTTCCCACTCCAACCCTATCAGTTTCCAACAGAGTTTAGACTTAGAACATCTATAGAGGAGATGCTCTAAGTCTTCCTCCTGTTCTCCACACAATGCACATATCACATCTGTCTCCATTCCTCTTTTTGCCAGCTTCTTTTTAGTACTGATGAAGCCCTGGACAATCCTCCACAAAAAGTTTTTAAGTTTTGGGAGCATTGGGAGTTTCCAGGATCTACACCACATCTTTTTCCTGTTATCAGTCCCCACACTAGATGAAGCAGTGGATGAGGTTGATTTAACACTGAAAATAGCTTCATAGGCTGATTTTACAGAAAAGGCTCCTTTGGGATCAAAATGCCATAACCATCTATCTTTTTTCACAGAATGGCAGATTGGGATTTTTAAAATCTGTTGAGCTTCAAAGAGATTGAAAGTTTGTTCTATGAGACTTTTATCCCAAGATTTGCCATCTTGCTTCATAAGATCACTCACTTTCTGAATACTCATTTTATTCTCCACAACATGACCAGAAGGCTGAAAATTAATCAGTTTTGGTACCCACGGATCTTTCCAAACATCCATTTCCCATCCCCAATTTGATATCTAAGACCCCTCCTCAGTGATCCTCTAGCCCCAAGCCACCCTTTCTATAACCAAGAATCCCCAGCTCTTTTTTTTGCTTCAAACAGACTAGTCCCATAAAAATATCTACCCTTTAAAAACTTGCTCACAAGGGAATTAGGCTGAGTAATAAGTTTCTATAGCTGTTTAACTATCAGGGCCTCATTAAGGCATTGCATATCTCTAAACCCCATCCCTCCAGCCTCTTCCCTACAGCTAGCTTATCCCAAGTAGCCCAGTGATTCTTATTATTCCCCCCCCCCCCTCAGATTTACCCCACCAAAATGAAGCCACAGCTTTACAAATATCATTACAAACAGCCACTGGAGTTTTATAACAAGCCATAACATAAATTGGAAGAGAATTAAAAACAATCTTTATGGGCACTTCTTTCCCTGCCGCACTCAAAAAATTGTTCCAATTGAGGATTTTTTTGAGAACACTATCACTCACAAATTTGAAAGTCTCTCTCTTGGATCTGCCCAACCCTAAAGGTAGACCTAAGTGTTTAGCAGAAGTGACACAAGAGATACCACCCAAAATTGAACAAATATCAGCAATAAGAGCAGGTTCAGCAATGATGAGAGACTGCGCGCACCTTTTTGACCAAATATGAACCTTCACAGTTGGCCTCGAGCTGGACCACGTGCTTCAGGACGTTGATCCTCTTCCACACCAAGTCGCCCACGTGGAATCATCGAATTTTAACATTCTTGTCATGTGAGGCCCGCATTTGTTGTATGTAAGTGATTGGTCGGAAAAAGTGTGTATTTTATATTTTTATTAGTGTATTTTTATATGCTTAGTTTTATTGCACTTATATAATTTTCGACTTATTTATTTGTTAGATGAATTTGAGTGCTATGATATTTTTATGATTTAATTTCAGGATATTGGAGCATCTTTATTGGCGACGTGACACCAAACGAAGTTTGACTAGGAGCAGTACGGGTATCCCACTGTTTTCGGCCCATATGTGAAAGAAGGGCCCAACTTTAATTAAACTTTTAATAAAGTTTTAAGGTGGATTAATGTGGGCTGCCACTTTTTAGAGTCCATTGAGGATTTATTTGATGGATACACGCATGCCCTGGGAGCATTTTATTTTGGAAAAGGAATCAGGGCACATAAAATTTCTACATAATAGAGATACAACTCACGTAGCCATTTTTTATTATTTATTGAGACATAACGCAGCCCCTATAGAAAAGACGAAAGAAAAGAAAGCGAGAGCGGCCAGACAGAAAAAGGATACGCGGACAGAGAGAAAGAGGACATACGCGAGGCACCCGATCAATTGCGGAGGGAGACCGCACCCGTACACGAGAGAGATAATTAATTTCTCTCTTTTATCTTTTTATTTTTATTTATTATGTTAGAGTAGTTTTTATTTCTAGTTCCGGTGATGTTGAACCCTACGACTTGACGATGTTTGATTGATTTTCGTGGTTGATTATTGAGTTGTCTTTTTGGAATTGTTTGTGTTATTTTGAATAATTAACCATGATGTGTTAGTCTAGTTTAGATTGATCACCTAGATTAGGCTTTTCATATCTACATCTGAGTTAGACCAGCAATCCGTAATTGTTGTTGTGTTCAACTCATAAGAGGTAACCGGAAGATGGTAACTACCAGGGATAACACGGCCTAATTAAGTGAACGAACGCGGTTGAGTTCACTAATTAGTCTAGCCTATTTTTCTAAATCATAAAGCGGCTAATTGTATTAAATCTTGAAAACGTTTTTCTAGACTGTACAAGAAGTCAGGTTTAATCGTCGAGCGTCTCGCGGTTAAATTAAAAATAAGGAAAAATTCGGGTAATTGACCGTGTCGTTGCCTAGGGCTAGTAATTTCATAAGATAGCGAGATTTGGTACCAGAATTGATTAGACGAGTCAGTCGAGGGTGTAGACGGAACCGTGAACTAGAAGCTTTCTCTTAATTTATTTTATTTTTATTTTCTTATTTGTATTAGATTTTTAGGTAGTTTAGTTAATAAATCAAACCCCCCCATTTATCGCTTTTTATAATTCCAATTAATACGAGAAAATTCACGATTTGATTCACACTCCTCGTGGGATCGACCCTTGCTCGCCACTACTACTAGTTAGTAGGGGTTAGTTGAGGAAAAATATAAATACTAATTTTGCCGCGTTGCGACGCGCGGTCAAATTTTGGCGCCGTTGCCGGGGAGTGGCATTATTGAATTGTGATTTTTGAGTACTAATTGAATTATTATTATTATAATTTTTAGATTTTTTTATTTTTATCATCTTTTACCCCTCTCTTTTTCTTTATTTTTGTTTTTCTGGCAGAATACTGGGAGACCCCGTACTCTGCTTGACAGATTAGTTCGCCCTCATACTCTTGGGAGTAACTTGAGTTTTGGTGTTTTTTAGCGAGCTTGACGCAACTTTTCGAGATGGCAGCCTATTATCACGACTTTTATACCCACCGCGCACCTTACCAGTATGAGAGGGAGGTACGAGGCCCGTGGATTGGAGATCAAGGCGTAAGAGGACCTAATGGTTGGCGAAGATACGAGCAAGACTACATGTATCCCGAGGAGAACGAGTACGGCTTGAGAGAGCACTCGAACTCTTTCCATGGGTACTCCGAGCCACCAATTGCGCGAGATCCCAGCCCATCGCTCGAGGATATGGTGAAGGCACTAGAGGCTCACACGTTGAGATTTCTGCAAGAACACTCCGAGCCACTTGTTGAGAATGACCCTGGTCCGTCTCTCGAGGATATGATGAAGGAATTGACGTTGAACACCCTTAACTTTCAGCAAAGTGTTGAGACGAGCCTCAACAGCCAAGAACTAAGCATAAAGAATTTAGAAGGCCAAATGAGCCAATTGGCGGAACAAATGGACCGACTAGTGTATCGGATCGAAACGAGTGCAACGAGTTTGAGCATTACCCATTCGTACAGCGAGGACCTCGAGGAAATTGAAGAGTGCACACACGAGCCGGAGAACGAGAAAATAACGAATATCGAGAAGAATGAGAGCGAAAAAGAGAACCAAGTTGCAGAATATGGGGCTAAGCAGCAGAATACAGGGGTACCCCATACTCGACCTGCTGTAGCCAAAAAGCGTACCGTTCTTCCTGCTCTTGTGCCGATAGAAGCTGAACCGTGTTCTATGTATTCTAATATGAAGTGGGTGTTGAGCAAGGATGCACTGAAGCATGTCTTGGACCTTCGTATACCTCCTCTCGAGACGATCGAGCAAAATGAAAGGTGTAAGTGGGAGTTTCATGAGGCGGTGACCGTGATCGAGCGTGGGTTGCTACACATCCTTGAGGAATTAGCGTCATGGAGGAAAGATCCGGTGAAGCACCCAACGCCGGAAAGAAGAGATGTCGTCAAACATGGTGTGGTGAGATTTGTGCCTCCGTTGAGGCCACCTCCGAAGCCGCCATGGATCTTTTGATGAAAAGGAGCAATAAGTCGGGCCAACGACAATAAAAAGAGGCGCTTGTTGGGAGGCAACCCAATGGTGTGCGTGATTCGGTGACTTCTTCCTCATTGACTAAGGTGAACTCGTTTCTTTTACCTCTATTTTTTTTTGTGATTATTGGTGATGATGATATATGCAAACTCTAAGTTTGGGGAGGTGGTTTATTGGTGAGCATTCATGTTTTATTATGTGATTATATTTATGCCCCTTAGAGTTTGAGTTCTCAGGTTATTGCATGATATTTGTTTGTCTTGTGTGAGCGTGAGATTACATGTACGTGGAATTTTGCGATGATGATATGAGAGTCGGTTTGGATTTATTGTGCTAGTTTAAATGGCTTGAGTTAATTTTATTTGGTTAAATTCTTAAGGTGTTTTTATTTTGGGGACAAAGGCATGATGGTGATATTTTTGTGATTCATTTATGGCGAGTTGGTTTTGAGGCGATTTGTATTGTTGAGATGTGCTTTGATTGCTTTAATCAATGTTGATTAAGTTTGGGGACTTGAAGTTGAAAGTTGGGGTTTCTATGTCTCATAGTCGAAAAAAAAAAGAATAAAGAGGATGGAGGAATAATTGGTGGAGTTGAAAAGCCGTTCGGCACAGAAAAAAAGGGAAAAAAAAAGAGCACGGGCTGCAACAGCTGCCAATCTGTGGGGGCTCTAGTCTATTATTTCAATAATTTCCGTATCTCGACGAGCACGAAAGGCTAAAATCCACGGGTTGTGACGGAGCTGCCGTTCCCTATTTCGAAAAAAAAAAGAGAAAGAGAAAAAAAAAGAGAGAGAGAGAGAGAGAGGAAGGAGCAAAAGTCACGGTTCTGGCACGTTGATAGCGAGCCTCCAAGCGCTCCTATCCACCGCTAAATCCTTGGAGATATTCCAATCTTTAAGGTCTCTCTTAACCGACTCTTCCCAAGTGAGTTTAGGCCGACCTCTACCTCTCTTAACATCCTCGACCCGCTCGACCCGCTGTAGAACTCCCCTACGTACCGGTGCATCATCAGGAGGCCTCCGTTGGACATGTCCGAACCACCTCAGCCGATGTTGAACCAATTTCTCCTCAATTGGAGCCACCCCGACCCTATCTCGAATAACGAATATCCTCATTCCGGATTCTATCCCTTCTTGTGTGCCTGCAGAACCAACGCAACATACGCATCTCTGCTACACTTAGTTGTTGGACATGTTGCCTTTTTGTAGGCCAACATTCAGCACCGTATAGCATCGCCGG